CCCACCGCGGACGACGGGAAAGAGATCCAATTCGCTCCTCGCTCTGGTCAAATTTCAACCATAGCGGGGACAGGTATCAAAATCACCACAGAACGGAGTGTAATCTCGACTGACGGAGGGCAGTACAGCACCGTGCATTTCAATCCTGCGTAAATAATACTATCTGCTAGGCCGGACCTCCCCATAATTCTGACCGTCTTATTTTTCTTCTTGGTCGAATGCAGATTTGGAGAGCCCATTCTCGAAACTCCTGAAAGTCCCTCAAGTTACAATGACCACAAACCCCATGATATCGAGATGGGACACGTACGGAGTACGGTCACACTTGGCAGGCTTGAGACGCAATCGAAGCCGCACGACTAGCATCAAAAACATTCTCTCTCTCTTTTCACAATTCATCGGTATTCCATTCGTTTTCTTTTCATTCTTGCTCTCGCACAGCACAGGGTACGGTGTGCAGGTATAGAAAAGGCTGGTTGTTCTCTGGATATGCTTTATCCGTTTCATGTCATGATCTTTTCTCATCTCTGCGCCCATTGGTTGGTTTTTGAGCTCCTGACTTGGGGCCGCTCTTTCTTCCTGCCGATGATTGTTTATTTACATTGCTTTTTTTTCTTTCTATCTCATGCATGAATCCACGCCGACACGTTCACACCTCCGACTGTATCGATTGCAGGTTTTCGAGTGCGAGCACAAGTTCTTCTCGTTGCCAACGTCACGCAGATTTCTCCGGCGACATTGCGATCGCTCTGAAGCTTGCTACCTGAGCTGTAAGCGGGCCGTTTCAGGAATCCGGAGAGCTGTGATAGGGTCTCTAATCAGGATGCATTGTGCTCTGCATTCACTTGGTTTATGAGCTGTTCAAGTGTCCCTCGAGTAGAGTTGGTTGCGAAAAAAACTGATGGAGTGTATCCTGTTGGAGGTTTGCCTTGACCTGGCGTGACAGAGGGCGGTAGCTTGATAGTTTTTGATGCTCGGCTCACGCCGCGAGATTCTGGAAAATCGCCAGCTGCACTCTCGAACATCGATCGACGCTTGCCAAGTGCCTGTAAATCGCGAAAATAAAAATCCAGAGTGATAGCAAATATGAGAGAGCAGTTTTAGTGGAGGATGGTGTGTGGAGATGTTTGAGCGCAGCCCGACGCGCTAAGCCGTTGGCGACCGAGGGTTCATTGCAGCGCGTACATCTCCCCGTCCCCCTTTCTTCCATCCTCAGCTGCGTTCTCGCTGCTGTCTTTCACGATCCCCAGCGCATCCCCTCTCTTTTCCCACCCACCAACCGTGTTCAAAGTAGTCCGCCAAGAGTTGCAACTGGGGGTCAGTATTTATCTAATTGTTTCTCAGTCGGACATCTGCACCCGCGGCGTCACGGACGTGTTGCGCGCGCCCCCTTTTGCCGCTCTCCACCTCCTCGCCGTGCTCGACGTCTGAGCTCTCATCAAGTCTGCCGCATCGTCGTCCTCGGAGCCCTTTGTTCACGACCGCTTTTCTGCCCGCTTTAGGTCTGGCCAGCCGTTCCCGTCCCGTCACTCTCTCACCTCCGACCACCACTCTTCCTCCCTCGCTTGTGCTTTCGCCGGTCTTTTCCATCCTCCGCTCTTGCTCTCGCTCCGTGTCTGTCTCTGTCTTCGTCTCTTGCTCTCAACCCCTCGCAACATGGCTTCAACATCAACGTCATCGGCAGGACTAGGCTCGGGCAATCACTCTCAACACGAGAGCAATGACGAAAAGAACAGGTGCGCGTTCTTGGCTCTCAATCACTATCCGTTTCCTCAAACCCACCCTCCTATTGCTGGTCTACAGCGTGGTTATCAAGGTTGGCATGGTGGGCGATTCGCAGATAGGAAAGACGAGTTTAATGGTGAAGTACGTGGAGGGCAGCTTTGACGAAGATTACATACAGACGCTGGGTTCGTCCGTGCCTCTCTTCACATCTTTACGGCCATAACATTGCTCATACATGCATTGTCCTAAAGGCGTCAACTTTATGGAGAAGACCATCTCTGTACGACGCACAACCATCACCTTCTCAATTTGGGATTTGGGCGGCCAACGAGAGTTTGTCAACATGCTGCCATTGGTGTGCAATGATGCCGTCGCCATATTGTTCATGTTTGATCTCTCGAGAAAATCGACGCTCAATTCTGTCAAGGAGTGGTACCGGCAAGCACGGGGGTTCAACAAGGTATGTCCTATACTATGTATGTATACGTCTTGACTAAACAACTTACTGGGCCCTCTTTTATACGTATAGACTGCGATCCCGTTTCTAGTTGGGACAAAGTTTGATACGTTTGCTACGTTTCCACGAGACGAGCAGGAAGAGATCACAAAGCAGGTTGGTATTCTTCTCACACACTAGCCTACTCAATCACTCAGCAGTGCGCTTGTCTGCTACAGGCGAAGCGGTTTGCAAAAGCCATGCACGCGCCCTTAATCTTTTCGTCAACATCTGCGTCAATAAATGTACAAAAGATATTCAAGATAGTGTTGGCGAAGGCGTTTGACCTCAAGTGCGTTATTCCGGAGATTGACAATGTGGGGGAGCCAGTGCTACTTTATGTAAGTCTACCTGCAACCAATATATCGGGAATACGTATAGGACAGATTCATTGATTGTATCCTGTATCTTTTTCTTTAGGTCGATGTTTAGACGACGTCCTATGGCGTGGGTTCGTTGAGCGTATGCGGGGAGAGAGGGTCTGCCGTTTCCGGGGGCCAGTGCGGGTTGCGGGCGTATCGAAACAAGCGTAATGGATGTGGCCATGTTATCGAAGGGGGTGAAGTGGGATATACCGAATGCATCTGCCGTACGGTACGTTGGTCGGAAGGAGTTTGTAGTCAGGAGAGCACTTGGGCTGTCGTGTTTCTCCATATTCACTTCTCTGTTTAATTCTTCCTTCATCCCACATTAGCACATATCCTAGGTGCATACGGACGTCCATCTTCCTGTTTTACTGTTCACTTTGCGCTCCCATTCACAACTACCCCTTCTACTATGCCTCCCTCCCGTTAGTATCATCATAGCCAGCTGTCGTTTCGTCTCACTTCTCAACTTCGGCCTCCACTTCTCTTCGTTCGCATCTAAAAGTACCCATCTCTCGCCCATTTCGTCACCCGCCTTCTCTATCCACGCGCATTTTTCTCCTTTGTTTTTCGTTTTTCGTTTCTTTTTCTACTCATTATCTTTTCACACGCCCACAATCCGAACCTAGTTACACATTACTTGCACGCTCGTTTACAATCTCTCCCTGCTTCACTTCGCTGTACTTCAGGTCATCCTCCATCACCATATAACATCCTCCTATCCCCGCTTTATTCACCGCATCACCGTATTTCTCGATCAGCCACTTCAACCGCCCTATTGCTCTATTACACCCCTTCCTACCACTCTACTCTCTATGCTTTCCACTATCAGGTTCAACTCAATCTTGATCTTGCAGTTCCCTCTCCACCGTTTTCGTTCTATCTACGTCTCCGCCCTATATTTTCATTCGTTATGATTGATTCGACTAATGAATATGGGTGTTGTGTCGGAGTGGGATTGTCTATTCAACGTTTCTGATTACGAGTCACAGCCAGGAGCATAAGAATGGGAGGGGGAACTATATCAGCGCGCTATGGGCCATTGGGACTCAAATCTCGGGTGCGCATGGAACTGTTAGAAAGCCTGTGGATACTGAAGTACTGAAGAAGTGGGCGAGCAATTCGAAAAGATGACCGATCAGCAGTTCGCGTGTGAGTGGCGGTATTCAGCCCCCTCTTCCCAGGCGGACGGGGCGGTCGAGGGCGACCTCACACAGTGCCTGCCAAAGCGTCCGAGAGAAAATAAAAGGTAGGTCCTGAATGCACTGCGATACCGGCTCGAGTCACTGTTGGGATGATCCCTGAATTGGTGTAGGACGTTGCAAAGCCATGGCAAGCATGCCGACTCTCCGCCCATGAACACGATGTGACTTGATCGCTACTAGCGTCGGAAGGCCAAGCGCTGGGTGGCGGAGCCGCTCTGCGTGGTGCATGCATGCCGACATCATAGCGGCAGAGCGTGATCAGCAAGAACGCAAAGAGCCGCCAGATAATTCTGACCTGCTGGAGGATCCTGAAGGCTGAGAGCAATAAGTAATCGTGAGGTGGGCGCTGAACGTTGATCCGATTTGCTGAGCATGACAAAACATCTCCGGGATTCCGAAGCCTGGCCTCAGGCCTCACGAAAGATTTCGGCGCGTACACAGGCGCCTGTGCAAGTAGTATCCACAGCTGCGCGAAGTGATCCTATACAGCTTGCACTATCGAAACCTAGAGCAAGTGCCGAATTCGGCGCTAATGGAATATAGCCCAGCTCGCCCAGCGAATATAAGTATCCTTGAACAATGTCGCAGCGTTTTGGTAATGGACGTATAAGTAGTATCGAAAGGCCAGGAATGCGGCACGTCAAACCTCTGAGAGCGCAGAGGAGGATTGAAGGTAAGCTTCGAACATCACTGGGCCTAAGTATGGCAACTAAACGGGTCGAAAAGGGCACGGATCATAGGTGAGCCACTAATGCAAAGGGTAGTATCAGAGGATATAGGCGGCGTGAGTTGGTTAGGCGAACAGCGATAAACATCGCAGGAGCCAGCAGCCCGTGTCAGTCAAAGGGCCCTTGTCCTCTGATGAAATTACTCAGTCCAATCTGACCACAGGGCCAATTTTGAAGAGAGGATAAATCTCGCACAAGTACTAGTCACCTCCAATTGATCAAGAACCCAAGAACGTTGGTGGCAACTTGATGCTCTGAGAAACAATTATCGATGTCATGGCTGGTAATTATGTAATACAAGCTCACCCACCCCACCCAAATACCTGTCCCCACATCGCCAGAATGTACTCAACACCTGCGTCAGCCGTGAAAAACGCGACTTGGTCATCTATGTAACTACTGTCCAACTTTTCTCTGACACATCATGTTGACGCAAACCCATGTCTTTGCTCTAAAGCGCCCGCTCTAACGGTATATTTATGGTCCAATGGTCTAGAGGTATGATTCACCCTTAGGGCGAAAGCAATTTGGGTGAGGTCCCGCGTTCGATTCGCGGTTGGACCCTTTTGATTTTAAGCCTTGGCGGTTAGGGTATGAGGTTTCATTTCCCCGTGCGTCGTTTGAATTTGTTAAAACCTTACTGAAGGTTCGTTTTCGCACTGGTAAATATACGTGGATTGGATGGACGGCAGCAGAGTCTCGGATGGTCCCATAGATCCAGGACGAACCAGATGGCATGCGGATGAGGAGGTTTTCGGCCTAGGGCAAACCTTGTCGAGCATTGCTTTTTTCACCTCCACCACAAAGATACCTGCTCGGTGTCTCTCCGCAATACACAAGACGACCTAGGACTTCTCCGACCATGGCCATGTGTGGATCGCAGCGGTATCAACGTGTGCAGAGGAGCCCATTTAGTATGCAATCCCCAGGATATGGGACAGAACCGATGGCGTCGACCCAACCTGGGCCAGAAGTTCAGGCTCCTTACATACTTGGCTCGCGTGCGGAGCTTGATTGTCGAGCCTGCCACCATTGGCGACCCTGTCTGATGGGATTTTTCGATTTCAAGGGCAGTACTTGCCCAATGTAACCCGTATTCCGCTGGAGGAAAGTCGTCCTGCGGCAGATGTCATGTGAATCCAATGGCATTATAAAGTGAAGGCCTGCTGGATATCTTCAACCGCCCTCTATCTCGCTATGTCCTCGACACCCCTCTCTTCGCTGCTTGGTCTTGCTGCCTCCGCCGCCAAAGATCTGGAGGACCTCTATGCTGTACGCGACCTCACCTTCCCGTCGCTCGCCTCAGTCAACCCTACCGATCCCGCCGAACTTCTCTTGCTGTCCCCAGAGGCGCAGGCTGCGTCGAAGCAAATTATATCTGCTTGCGGGATGATCATGTCCATGGTCACTCCCCCATCTTTGATCCTTCTGAACGAGACTATGCACGTAAGCTGTTCTGTTGAATAGCACTGTTGACACGCTACAGCGGTTCACGCTTGTCTCCGCGCAGTACAACATCCTTGCTTCCCTTTGGACGATGGTCGAGTCCAATACAGTCGAAATTATCCGCGAGCTTGGCGGCAGTGGAAACGCTGGCGTTCATGTGGATAAAATCGCCGCTATGAATGGCATGGATAGCTCGAAACTAGGTTTGCGACCGGGCAGTTTTCTGCGATTGACCATAATACTAAATCCAATTTTACAAGCTCGAATACTTCGCCTCCTCGCCACCCATCATATATTCACCGAGACGTCTCCAAACACATTCGCCAACAACCGCACATCGATCCATCTCGACTCGAGCAGCCCCGTACAAGGTCTCCTCGATAAGACCGCGCCAAAGTTCGAAGGCACGGGTGTTGAAGCCGCTATGATCGGGCATGGGGGAGACGAGGGCATCCGCATCGCGTCCCACATGTCACAAACCCTCCGCTCCCCCGAAACTGCGTGTGCATTCGAGCCCAACAAGACGTCGTTCAACACCGCATTTGGAGGCGACTTGAGCCTTTGGGAGTGGTACAATTTGCCGGAGAACTCCGAGAGGCGGGTGCGCTTTGGAAACGCGATGAAGTCTCTTGGTAGATCCGAGGACGCGCCGGGGAAGGGATTCGAGTGGTCCAGGCTGCCTAATGGTGCTACCATCGTTGATGTTGGCGGCAACGTCGGTTCCGCATGCGTCCCGCTCTTGGAACATATTCCACACCTCAACCTCGTTATCCAAGACCTGCCACCGCTTATTGAAGAAGGGCGCAAGGTGAGTGTCCAGCAGAGCGCCCTCATTTCATGTTTAGAGTTAACATCGTTATCTATGATAGTTTTGGGCTGAGAAGAATCCCAAAGCTCTCAAATCGGGACAAGTGAAATTGCAAGTGCACGACTTTTTTGAGGCGCAGCCCGTCGTCGGAGCGGACGTCTACCACTTGCGCGCAATCTTGTCAGCCATCCTTTCTATGCCTTTGCCTACGAGCTTGTCTTTCTGACGACTCCTTGCCTTGGACCGATCTCAAGACACGATTGGGCTGATCCGCTCGCCATCAAGATCCTCCGCAACATCCGCCACGCAGCCACCTCAACATCCAAGCTCGTCATCCGCGATCAGCTCATTGCATACGCCTGCGACGCCCCGCCATCCGCGATTCCGGGCGCTCAAATCGACCCTGCGCCCACCCCATTACTGCCCAACTGGGGTCTCGCATCATCGACCAACTACATTTTTGATATACACGTGAGTCGTTCATTTGATTCTGCACTATCGCTCATCGTGGCTGACGGGTGTGCTGCAGATGCTAACGTGCTGCAACGGCAAGGAGCGCACGCTCGACGATTGGATCTCGCTCTTTGATCAATCGGGATGGAAACTCGTTCGCGTGTACAGGGGCCCTTTGTTCGCTGAGCTCGTGGGCGAGCTCAAAGGATCAAAGAAGAGGAAGCTTGAAACGCCAGAGGGATCCCCCCGACCTCGGAAACTCGGTACGCAAATTAACAGGTCGGATGGTGTTATCGCTGAGCGCGTCTCCAACGTGTGAGATTGGTTCCGGTCCCACCTTCCTCTGACATGAAAGTGGGGTAGCGCGAAGAGCTGTACTTAAAAATATTAGTCTCGTTTATCTTTCTGCCTTCTGATGTAACTTAGCCAGTATCATATAGTTCTTGGTTGCTCTCACCTCAAGCTTCTCGAGGCTCGAATGCATCGCATCGCATGCTCTGATACATAAGGATATACCCTCCACCTGAAGGATTTCCGCTCAATATCCTTCGAGCCCCGCTACCTCATTTCCTCCCCCCTGGTGCTTTCGACAAAGTTAGTTGGACTGATAGCGCCTCAGCAAGCTCGTTCCAAGCGCGATTTGAGCGCTTGGGCGCTTGCAGTGGTCCCATGCACAATATTTGCAACATGGCGTGATTTTCGGCGATGCCACTGCCAGCGTTGGACTCCCGGAGCTCGCCCCCTTGATGCAATTTACAGATATTACGCATGGCAATCAATACCCGCTCGACTTCTTCCTCTTACGTTGAGATTTGACGACGCTCCCAAGCACGTGAAAGAGCCCCAAGCGCTCCCAGGCGAGAACGCTGGCACGAAGCTTCGAACTCTGCGTGGAGGAGCCATGGCGGGGACGGACTGATAAAGGACTAGTGTACCATCGGGTCTGATCCGTTTACGTAATACATTCAAATTCGAAGTCGAAGGCTTGGTCCGCTCTACGAGTCTCAGATTCAGACAAGATTAGCGCAGCCTGGCCTTCGAAGCAGGGGTTGGAAGTTTCTTTACTGCCGCTCGATTCGCCGATGTTGCACTAGTGTGGGGAAAGGGTCCCAATCGCGATAGCTCGACAAATTCAAAGATAACCATACATATTACAATTCGAGAGACGCTGCTTAGCCATCGTTAGTCCACCGGAGTTAGACCCAAGGATCCGCGCTCCAACCGTGGACAGAACCCATTGATGACGCCTGTCGCGAAGTGATCGATGTGGAAGGTGTCCTCCGTGCGCGTCTTCCACATAGGTCCCTTGGGGGCTGTTGAATCTCCTCCCGGCCTCGTGGTGTCGGACTGCTCGCAAAACTCAATGGGGCGGGCGCACCCCGAGCCGGCTTCGCTTGCATGTCTCGCGCTAGTGGAATGGTCAACGTCAGCCGACCCTTGTATCACTGTGGGGCTCGGAGCTATCAGCAGCTAGTTTTCCAACGAGAATAAGCCGATGTCACCTGGCCTGAACTGCTCGAACGCGCGATCGAAGTCAGGTTCGTCGGCACTTGCTAGGATAGGTTGGGCTTGAGCGCGCATCTGTTTGTACGCTGCCAAAACGACGACCAGAAACCTGAAGCAAAGCGGAGCGTGAGCACGAATAGGTTAGGCGTCGAAGCGGGCGAAGGGGGGAGCTACGTGCCTTGAGAACGAAGTGGAGACGCGGCTAGAATGCCAAACGGCCGCTTCCTCTTCGGTGCAGTCTCCACGGCGAGCGGCACAAATAGAAAGAGCCGCCGAAAGGGCACCCGCTAGCGCGAGGTGAACGCCAGAGGAGAAGAACGGGTCTATGAAGGCTGCAGCCGTGGCCAACAGTTGGTAAGCTTTATGGGCGGTAAAAAGGGGTGCAACCACGAACCCCCTGCATCTCCGACGATGCGATAGTGGTCTCCAGCATAAGACGAAGCAGAGTAGCTGTAGTCGCTTGCGGATTTGACCACAGAGCCGGTGGTAGCATCCTTTACGAGTTCGCCCGGGCCGACGAGGGCCAAGATCGAGGGTGCGAATTTCAATTGCTCCAAGTAGTGCTCTTGCATCGAAGGCGAACGGCCAGATGGGTGGTTGGCCTTCTTCTTATTGGAAATCTCTTGATTCATGACGATGCCGACAGACGTGGTGCCGTTGTGGAGGGGGATCATCCACGCCCATCCGGACTCATCTATAGCAACCAGAGCGAGGAGAAGGGCAGCTCACGAGCGGCTAGAAGAGAAGAGATAGGAAAGGGCGATATACCTTGCAAAGCCTCGAAAAAAGGAGAGTTGTTCCTGGGAGTGCCGGCGCCATAAACGCTACACCCAGTCCAATATCCCCAAGTAGCAACGTTTTTCAGCTCTTGATTAAAAGTACGGGTTTTGAGGTACTTGGTCGACAAGATGCCCGCGCGGCCGCTAGCGTCGATCAAGTAATCAAAAGTTATGATCCCAAACGAGCCAGACTTCGACTTCCAATGAGCGGAAGTTGGCCGAGTGGATACAATGTCGCCCGTTTGGGATATCAAGTCGGTTACCTTGATGCCGTCAAATATCTTAGCGCCGCACTCGCCGGCGTAGCGAAACATGAGTTCATCCGACTCGGATCGAATCTACTCACAATGGCGTTAGCAGGGGGTTTGAACGGTACTTTGTGGATCATTCAGAAGGGCATACAAAGTTCCATGCATAGTTTTGGGGTCCCCTGGCCAAGAAATCGGTGTCTGCCGCAAACAAGGGGTCAGCGAATGCGTATGGGTGTCGATACCGTCGGATGCTTACACCCTTCTCTCTTAAAATCGTTCAGTTTAAACGCTGCGCCAACCTAAGTCCTTGTCGTTCAGGAC